TGTCCCCTAAACACAGAGTGCTGCTGAATGACATTGAGGCCCCCAGTGACCCGAAGACTCACAACAAAGCTTGTAGGGGCTTGAACTTTGGCTCAGGGTCTGGAGATCCAATCCGAGGAGCGAGGTCCATCCCCTTGGCTTCCTGGCTTAGAGGGGTATCTCTGTCTGTTTTTGTTTGTTTGTTTGTTTGTTTGTTTGTGGCTTACTTCTTTCCTCTCTGTTTGTTTTCCTCCAACCTGAGCCTGGAGGCCGAACTGTGTCTGTAAGTGACATTTAATGGAGCCCAGAAATGCCTGCTTGCTCATATGTTCTCTATGGACGCTCGCCTGCCAGCGTGGTGGCCTAGAGGGGTAATACAGATACAGCCCAGAAAGCGTCAAAGTAGTTGCTGTCTGGCTCCTTAGAGTGGATCTTGCCAGATTCAGCTCTGGGAGGTCTAGGGGGGTTGTTTGTCCTTTTATAGGCATTCACCCACAAGTTGACAGAGAGACACAATTTTTTTTTTAAGTACTTGGATGCTCTGCCAGGCTGGAATGCCATATAGCCACCCAGGATCTTCAGGCCTGTCCCCAAAGGAAGAGCTTTCCAGGGGCTTAGAGAGCCCCAGGAGAACTCGGTCCCTGGCTACCTCTCTCATCCATCCTGTGACTGCCAGACTGTACCTGGGCACCGTCACGGTATTGCCCTGATTCCTGGGCCTGGAAAGCTGTCTTGGTTTCTTTACCAGGAACCATGACTCCATGCCCCCTTTACAGGACATTCGGGTCATTCTTGGCCCATTAGCATAGGAGAATATCGGGGCTGATGTCTGAGACCACAGACTTCCAGCCTCATCGCCTCTCCTACCCCGGTGTCACTTTCTGAATAACATGTTTGGAGTGGAGACAAAAACATCTGCCAGATCTAATTGAAACTTTTGTGCGTCTCTCCAAGAGGCTCCTTCGGAGACAAAAGCCTTCTTTATCGGGCCTCAGTCCCCTCTGGGGACAGGACATTGTTTTCCTTGCAGTTTGGAGCCGGCATGTTATCCATAAGGCTTTACCTCTGTCTGAAACAAGGTGTACAGGCGATCCAGAGGCAGTCATTACCTCCCGCCTTGTTTTTATTACCGCCTTGTTGTGTCTAGACCAAGCCATCTCTGAGAGGAATCTGGCTGGTGTCTGCCGGGAAGCAGTGTGTGTGTGTGTGTGTGTGTGTGTGTGTGTGTGTGTGTGTGTGTGTGTGTGGACTTAGAGGGCCCGAGAGGGGCTGGGCAGCACCTGCCCATCCCTGAGGAATCTTTGTCTCCCAGCTGCCTTTGGGTTTTCTGCTTCCTTCCCCAAGCCTAAAACAGGCACACGGTTGTCCTTTGGAATGAGCGTATTTCTTAGATAATTTCCTGAAAAGAACTGACAGCTGCCCACCCCCACCCCCCCAGGAGATGGTCACATCAGGCCATTGCCCTGGGTGCACCCAGATTTGCTTCTATCTAAGGACCTATCTTGGGGGAGAGAAATGGAGTACAGATTTGGGTGCTTCCAAAAGTAGGAAGCTGGCAGTTCTCCCAAGAGCTAGCCTGTGCAGTGTACACAGCCCTTACATTACAAGGGTGACGTGATTTTGATGACGGTGGCGGCGGCGGTGGTAATGGTGAAGATTTGTGGTGCCTTCTATTTGTTTGGGGCAATGTTTTTCTGCCCTGGTTGCACATTATAATAAAAATCTCCTTGGAGTTCGAAAAAGTACCTGTAATAGAACTCCACCCCTAACCAATTATTTTAGTCTCTAATGATGATGCTCCGACGTTGGTGATTTTTTACAAGCTCCTCGGAATATTCTTAGCCGGGCTTGAGAACCACTCATGTGCTTTTGCAGCCTGTGATTACAGTTGCTGTGGCTTTTATCCCTGTCACAATGCGGAACGTTCAGAATCAATATGTTCTCTTTTGTCCCAGGACTGAGTCCTCAGGGATGGGCTCAGAGCAGAGCTTTTCCAGCCAGGCCTCAAACCTGGACCTCCTGACTCCAAGCAAAGTCCCTATGCCTCCTCCAGTAGCGCCAGAGAAAATTCCCTGTGTGGACCTCAGTGCTCCTGTACACACTTGTCCGTGTCCACTGTCCACAGCACACCTTTACCTTCTCATAGTTCAGCTCCAGGCACACACACCTTCTCCACTTCAAAAAATTCTAACCGGCTTTACACACACCTGATTTACATGAAATGCTCCTCCCCCTCCCTCCCTCCCTCCCTCCCTCCCTCCCTCCCTCCCATAATACTGGGAACTAAACCTAGGGCCTTGTACATGCTAAGTGAGTGTTATAGTCCTTTTTCTATTTTTGAGGCAAGGTCTCACTAAGTTGCCCAGGCTGGCCTTGAACTCATTTTGTAGCTCAGACTTGCCTTGGATTTAATTTAATTTTTTTTTTTTTAAGAGGGGGACATTGGTTTTTCAAGACAGGGTTTCTCTGTGTAGCCCTGGTCATTCCTGGAACTGACTTTGTAGACCAGGCTGGCTCAAACTCAGAGATCTCCTGCCTCTGCCTCCCAAGGGCTAGGATTAAAGGCGTGCGCTACTGCTCAGCTGACTTTGGATTTTTTTTAAAAATTTTATTCTTTTGCTTCAACCCTATTGAATAGCTGGGATTTTTTAATAATCTCGAACCACCAAGCCTGGCATACCTGTTTCTCTTCAGTCAACTCTCGGTTCAAAACCCAAACCAACCCTACCTACCTTTGCCCTCAGTGGTCTAACTCTGAAACTGGCTAGACTGATCAGAAGCCATTGTCCCGAGCAACAACCTCCCTGATAAAATCCCAGAATCCATTGCCCTGGGGGCAGTCTGGGAAGTGAGGCAGTCGGGTTCTACCACAGGGACTGGAGTCAGGTGGGTAGCAGAATGCTGAGCGAGGAAGGGTCTGTCAGCTCAGCCAGGTCCAGTGTGGGGGTCTGTAGGCTTCACTTTATTTTCATACCTGTGATGTTATCAGCAGGGGTAAAGACTGCAGAGGTGGCCACTTCCAATTCTTCTAGTCTTGGTTGCTCTAACTAGACCAGTTGGGAGGCTACTCTAGTGCCTGGGCTAAAGATTGCAGAGTTTCCTTTCGCTTGAAACCGATCTGTGGGACCTCCTTGGTGGTGGTGGTGGGGGGGGACTGAGGGGACCCTTGGCACAGGGTGGACTCCAGCACTTGGGACTGGGTTTTGAGGAAGGAAGAATGCTAGAGAGATCTGTGTGGTACCGTGTTGAGAGGCTCCTCAATGACCAAGATGGTTCAGCAAGTCTGGGTCATGCTGAGCTGGATTTGAACTCTGACCCCACTGCTTGGCACTAATATGGCCTTGAATCAGTGGCTTGGAGTCTCTCAGACTGTTTCTGCCTCTAAGATAATGTGGTACTTACCTCAGAGGGAGAATTAGCCGGGCAATCTAGGCAATCTAGGCAAGACATTAACACGGTGTCGGGCAGCCTGTAAGTGCTACCTATTATGGCTGTCGTCATTTTACCCATGAGATCAAGGCGGCAAAGTTGCGAGATGTTCTTGTGGACGCAGATCATCTGAGGACGGGGCATTGACTGGGTCCGTAGAGAGCCTTTTTTCCTGAAAGGCTGGAAATGGGAGGGGCTTCCCTTTCGCCTCCCCTCCTCTCCAGGAGCTTTCCCAGGAGCTGTCCCAGCAAAGGGTCAAGGCCAGCTCTAGCCAGCCTGGCAGGATGGGGGGGGGGGATATTCTAGAGAGACACTTGTGCCCCTCCCTTTGGCTATCAGACCATTGAGACCATGGTCCCCAAGGAACTGGGTTTGTCCCAGGAATCTCATACTGAGAGAAGGAAAGAGCTGAAGACTCCCGGAAGGGTCTTGACACAGCCTGACAACCTGTCAGAGCACCTTGCAGGACCGACTGAAGGTGGCGATGAGGGGCAGGACCACATCTTGACGGAGGCTACTTAGCTATCCATGCCTCTTGCCCTCGGTTTGAACTTGAACTTTGTGTCCTGACTCTGAAGACAGGCTCGGGGAGTCACGGGGCCTCTCTGTCCCTTTTCTTAATATGGTCATTGTTGACTAAATCTCCCTTTTCTTGCTCTCCTCTATCCCTGTTGAATTGGCCCACTGGGGATGGGTGCAGAGCCTAGCTAGTTAGGGCTGTGGGGCCCAGGCCCTGATACCCCAACACCTCCAGTGACACAGAAGCTGAGGGGCCTGATGTATGGTGCTTCCAGGTTCTGTCTCGTTGGATTTTTAAATAGAATGTTCCCGCAGCTCCCAGAACTCTGCAACAGGGTCCTGGTGAAAATTAAGAGACCAAAGGGGAAGCCTCTGAGCTGGCAGCACCCAAGTTTCCCCACAGACACATCTGTGAGCCCAGGTAGACAGATGTGTCCATGGTAGAGACAGACACCGCGCGTCTGCCCCCAGCCAGATGCCAGCAAAGGCAAAGGGCAGGGTCGAAGATAGCAAGAGGAATTTCGGTTGTGAAGCCTGACGCATGGGCTCCACTGAGCTGATCGTAGACTCTCTAATAAACAGAGGTGAGGATTCAGCCTTCTCAACTTGACCTTGATCTGATAGGCGTATAGGCTCATCGTGAACTTCCTTGGAAAGTGACAAAATATACTTGTAGTGATCTCCCTTGATCTCCAAGAAATGTGTCCTGAGCCAGTACCCTGGGGAATAATTGGTAGGTGACTCAGAGGCCCCAGGAGGCCAAGGTGAAACATCCTGCAGATATGTGCCCTGGAGGGCTGCAGGCTGGATGTGAGCGGCTCAGCCTCACGTGTGTCCTAGAAGTCACTTGGGATGTGGCTGCATCCTCCCCGGAGCCCCTGAGAATGGAGTCTTCAGGACTCCAGGCAGGGAACAGATCTGACATATGGCCCCGGGGATGGATAAGATCAGCTTGCCTTTTGGCTATGTGGGACTTGTGCAGGGATGCCCACCTGGGTCCTGACCATGCCATCAACCCCAAAGTCTGTAGGTTTTGGCCTTGGCTCAATGTCATGTCTTTCTCCTTGTTTCAGAAGTTCCGGGTAGATATGCCTGGCTCAGGCAGCGCCTTCATCCCCACCATCAATGCCATCACCACCAGCCAGGACCTGCAGTGGATGGTACAGCCCACAGTGATTACTTCCATGTCCAACCCTTATCCACGCTCACACCCCTACAGCCCCCTGCCGGGCCTGGCTTCTGTCCCTGGGCACATGGCTCTCCCCAGACCCGGCGTGATCAAGACCATCGGTACCACTGTGGGCCGCAGGAGGAGAGATGAGCAGGTATGCCTCTAGCTAGTGGAGGAGAAGCCACGTTGGTAGCCCGGGAGGGGTGGGGGGGCTCTTGAATGTAGATGTTATGTTGGTGCTTGAGGGAGGTCTTGAGTTTGGGGAACACTTTGTAAAGTATCTGTGAATGCGAACTGTCATGGCCTCTTATAGTAGTGCTCTGCCCTGGGCCTTAGTGGGGAGCCACTGGGTGAGCGCCATAAGACCAGGGCTTTGAGCATCCATGTGACTTTCCATTCTTCCTCAGTGTCTCAGGCCTTTAGATCAAAGCTGCATCCCTTTTCCTGTTCCTGGAATGTGTGTTTTAGAAATATAGTGACCGGGGACCGAGGAGTCTGTTCAGTTATGGGGGCGGGGGGCGCGGGGAGACAGAGGTCACGCATCAGGTTTCGCTTGTTTTTCCTCCTCGAGAGGCTCACCTTTGAAAGAGAACCGACTTGGAAGGAAGTGTGCAGGCCTTCCAAGACCTCATCTGTCTCCCCTCACAGACGATACCCCCCAAGGCCCAGACCTACTTGCTTAGACTCCATGCACAGTGCCCTTCCCACAAGGCCATGCCCGTGCGTTTTCCTTCTCAAATGACACGTGAATCTGGTAACGCCTTCCCACGTGAAACTGTGGGAGCCTTCACTCCAGCTCCTGTTTCTACTCTAGGGTCCCCAGAGTCTACCATACCCTAGTACCAGTGCCTTTAACCAGTAGTCCCCAGAGTGCCTCTGTGTGGTAGACACTGAGGTACAGTGGCGTGTGTGTGTGTGTGTGTGTGTGTGTGTGTGTGTGTGTGTGTGTGTGTGTGTGTGATGCCACTGGCCCCTTCTGGGGGCTTCCCACAGGTCACAGGAATTGTAGGTGTGACTTCACAGTCCTTTGTCATGGTGCTTCCTATAATGGATCCATGCTGCAAAGCTCCATCGCCATTGACAAGCCAGACTGTCCCGGGATATACATGATGCTGAGTGGCAGCCAGGCTCCTGTGGGCTGACGGGACATGGCAGCATGATGTGTCCCACATTCTTCCTCTGCTGGGCCCACCTCACACTACATTCAGAAGTGTGCGCCTAGAAGGGACTTTGAGGACAGTGCCTCCGAATTTTGTCCCTGGACCCAGCTCATAGATGAGGCCTAGAAGGCAGGGGCCTGCTCAGAGTCACACCATGTTAGTAGTAGCGGAGACTGGGATCCACCGCTTTGACCTTCAGGTGGATGTTTTTTGATGCTACCCCCACCCAGGTCTGCTTCAAGACCAGCTGTCTGGGGCCATCCTTCCTTTCGTGGTCCCCTTTTCCAGCCTCCCGCCCCCCCCAGATTCCTACCCCAAGGCTTGTCCCAGGAATCAGCCTGGCGCCTCATGGCCTCGTCCCAGAGCCTGCCCAGGAGGCTCCTCTGAGCCCAGGGTGGGGACTGAGGAGAAGGGAGGGGAGGGCGTGTGTGGCTTGTGGGTGGGTCCCTAGTGATGTTAACAACACTCAAGCTGTAACCACGTTGATCTCACCACCCCAGAACATTTCCTATGTCGACAGTACCCACAGTTGCCCCACACCTCCCCAGACAGGGAGACTTCTAAGGCTAAAAGTCACCAAGGTAGGAGGAAGGCTTGCTTTGAACCAAGACTAGCTTTTTTTTTCTCTCCCTCAGCAATAAAGGCTGCCTGTGGGGGAGGGGAGGGGAGGGTGGTGGCGCTGGGCCTTCAGTGGAGTCCAGGGGCCCATAGAGAAACCACAAGACCACAGGCTTTCTTGGTAACTAACTTGGTAAGGCTTGGACCAAGACAGGTCTGGGAGCAGGTGGTGGCTGAGTGGCCTTGTGACCTCCTGTGGGGTCAGCTCTGTGTAGACAGAATGGACTTTCCACTTTGATGTCTTTCTTGGCTGCTCAGGATTTCAGAGCCACGGACTCCCGGGGTGGGAGGGAGCTCCCTGGAGTCCTGACCTGAGCCCAGATAGCACAAACGGCTTGTTCCTCACGGTGTGGCCTGTCGTTAGGCAGCCTTTCTCTCTGGGGTAGCTTCAGCTGCCCACCCCCCAACCCCATGTGTCCCTTGAAGGCAGGACTCAGGTCCTGTCATACTTAGAATCTTTGAGGCTCCTAGCAGAACGTAGGCACACAGTAGGTATGCATCAATGTGTGGTACCTGAGCGAGGAGGTCTTCTCTCTGCCCTATGTTATGCTTTAGCCCGTGGCCCTCTCCTTGGTAGTGTGTGTGAGCAGAGGTGAGTTCCGAGTCTCTGACTGATTCGCCAGAAGGAGCTGGTTCCTGATCTCTTCCCAGGGGGGGGTTTCCTTTAGTCCATAGCCACAACTCCTAGAATTATGTCTCATGTAGACGGTCACTATCAAATAAGCAGAAAAGCTGGGCGGCGAGACTTTTATGCCTAGGCTGCTTTTTCTCTTGCCCAGCCGAGTCCTGTGGCAGGCTCCCAAGGAGTCCTCAGGGGAGACCTCTGAGAAGCTGGCACTCGGGTTGGCAGAGGAAATTGGGAAGAGAGTGGTACCCATGCCCCTCACACTGGTGATAGTACATCAGCACACACTGCCCCATGGCTGGATCTTACCTATGTGGAGACTCCATAATCCAAGGTGGGTGGTGAGGCTGGTAGAGCAGGCGGAGTGATGAGGAGGAGGAGGGTCATTAGCTAGGCTTTGGAGGAAGCTGCTGTATATAGCAGGTGGAACCAGGCTGGAGGGGACTCTCCTCTGGCTTAGGCTTTGAATCAGAGCTGACAGACAAATCCTGCCCTGGTGCAGGGCCACTGAGTGCCTTACGGACTCTTGGTCTGCTCTCCCTTTCAACATGCAACGTCCGTCCGTCCGTCCCCTTCCAAGGCAGATCCGTCAACATGCTCCCTCCAGGCAGCCACCCAGCAGTGACCCTCACGAGGCTGGCTCCGCATCTCTTTTCTCCCCTCCCCAGTCTCTAAAAAGGGGCAGCTTGCATTCCTTAAAATCCAGCTCTTTAAAAGTTGCTGCGAACCTGTGGGCGCCATTCTGATCATGACCCTTGACCTTGGCCTCCCCAGCTGTCTCCCGAGGAAGAGGAGAAGCGTCGAATCCGGAGGGAGAGGAACAAGCTGGCTGCCGCCAAGTGTCGGAACCGTCGCCGCGAGCTGACGGAAAAGCTGCAGGCGGTGAGGAGCTGTGTGTGGGGCGGGCTTGCCCGGGGTGGGCCGAGGGCTGCGGGGCTCCTGCCCTTCCAGGCCTGTCCTCACAAGGATCATACGGACGATGAGTCAGGAGAGAGAGAACATTCTTGCTTTTGAGCACATGGGTCAACAATTATGCTAAATGAGGGGTGGGAATGGAGAAATGAATGCCTAAGAATTGGCCTTTGCCATCGGCGTGGGTCTAGAGAGGAGCAGACCACCCTTCTGGGCCAGTGTGGGTTTTCTCACTCAGCACCTGTGGGCCCTATGTCCTCAACCCACTGGGGCGTCTTGATAAAGGTTGACAGTTCCAATGAGCTAGGGCAGGTACATCAATGCCTGCCTCTCTGTGGCTCCTTCTCAGGGTTCCGGTTGCCCCCGTGCCCAGGGCCAGCAAAGGTGGCCCAGCCGGGCCGAAGCACCCTGGCTTGAGTGGGGGTGGGAGCAGGCATCCTCACGCAGACAGGTCACATGTCAGTCGAGTTATATTTTTTTGGGGCTTTCGCCTACCCTTCCTTGGCAGGAAGGTTTCCCACCTCTGTGGTGAGCTGAGAGCTTCATTTTTGTCCTCGTGAGTCATTCTCCCATGTTCCCTAACTGCCCAGACCCCGGGGCAGGGGTGTGTGTGTGTGTGTGTGTGTGTGTGTGTGTGTGTGTGTGTGGTGCCCATGGTCCTGCCCCTCCCTTTTCTAAACTTGACCTGACCAATGTCACGTAACGCCCTTCTGTGTCTGGCTCTAAAGGCAGGGCTGAGCATCTGGTCGGGGAGGTCCCAGGCCAGTGCTGACTCCCTGGGACACGGTGCTCCCAGAGAGAGGAGATGAGCCGAGAGATTGTGTGTGTGCGCAGTGCTCACATGGTGACTGATTAGTAGAGAGATTTAGAATCCGTTTAATCCTCCCAGGTACAGTCGATCTGTTTTAAGCTGTTTCATGCCTCAGCCCCAGCTTTTGGGTACATTCAGGAGAATATATACTTGGTGAATCCCATGATGCCTGTATCCGTGGCCTGTGGAGGCGTCAAGAGTAGGATGGGGGTTGGGGGTAGAAGTTCTTCCTTCCCAGATGGGGCAGATGGGGGGGGGGTGATCAGCCCACCACGGGAGGCTCCCTCAGCAGAGTCTTCCACTGCTACCCATTCTCTCCTACTTCAAGGAAGCCACCATGCCTTACTGTGACTCCCTGTGGGCATCCCTCTCCACCGGCAGCCCAGCCCAGCTACTCCTCTGAGCCCTCCCTGCCTTTCCCTCCCGTCTTCCCAGAAACCTCACACCCTACCTCTCCGCCTCCCCCACGTCCTGACCCAGCTACCCAGGCCCCTGAGCCACATCCTCCACAGGAAGCCTCTGACGTTCATCAGGCCCTTGAGACAGATGGAAACTTTTTTTTTTTTCTTCACTCCGGAATATACCGTACTGTGCTTAATGAAGCTCTTGCCCGTATCTCTTCATTTGTGAATGGGAATCCGTATTAGAGAACGAGGAGGGAGGAGACTGCTGACGCATGCCTTTCCTCTCCCCAGCCATTACAGCCCAGAGGAGCCTTGTGTGAGGGGAGGAGCTGGCGATCTTGGCATCCTCGTGGGCTCTTACAGGCTGTCAGGTGCCCCTCTATTGGGCACACAGTGGAGCTAAATGTGTCCCTTGGTGGCTCTGGTCTAGTGAGGCGGGCTTCAGAAAGTGGAGTAAGAAAGGGAGGGTCCAGCAGGGATCGGCTGAGCGTCTATTACAAGCCAGGCACTGTTCGTTCCAGGGCCGAGGCTAGAGAGGCTTGTACACAGGAGTCTGCTCACACGCAGCGTCCAGCTCAGCATCTGTGTCCACTAGTGGGCTAAAGGAAGATTGAGCAGAGGATTCCCTTGTCTAGGAGTACCCCACTCTAACCTGTTGGGGGACCCAGAGGTAGTACTGATATCCTCAGGGTCCAATGTGGCTAGCATGCTGACTCTGGAGTCTGATGCCCTGGGATTCACATCTGGCCATCCCTCTCTGCTAGCTCTATAACTTTGGGCAGATGAGCCCTCTTTTCAGAATCTTGGTTTCCTCATCTTCCAAATGGGCTGATAACATCTGCTTTCAGAAGCTTCTGGAGGGTTGAGAGGAACAATCTGGGCAGTGCACAGTATGGTGAAGTAGGTGCTCGTTCACAGCGACGCCCCACAAGCCGACTTTCCTCCTTCAGAATTAAAAGGGACCGTGAGCCACCATGTGACTCACACCCGGTTAGCTCTCCCACCAGGTGTGTGAGATGCTTGTGGTTAGGGTCACCTGAGGGCGCTGTCGATCTCCTCTCTCTCTCTCTCTATGTGTGGCTTGGGACCGTCCCTCAGTTCAGCCTGTGGGCTTCCGTCCCTCACACCCTTCTTTCCCCTCCCAGGAAACAGAGGAGCTGGAAGAGGAGAAGTCCGGTCTGCAGAAAGAGATCGCTGAGCTACAGAAGGAGAAGGAAAAGCTGGAGTTCATGTTGGTGGCGCATGGCCCTGTGTGCAAAATCAGCCCCGAGGAGCGCCGGTCGCCCCCGACCTCCGGGCTGCAGCCCATCCGTGGTACGGGCGGCGCTGTGGTGGTGAAGCAGGAGCCGCTGGAAGAGGACAGCCCTTCTTCCTCAGCGGTAGGGATGGACAAGACCCAGCGCTCTGTCATCAAGCCCATCAGCATTGCTGGGGGTGGTTTCTATGGGGAAGAGCCTCTGCACACTCCCATCGTGGTGACCTCCACACCTGCCATTACTCCAGGCACCTCAAACCTTGTCTTCACCTACCCCAGTGTCCTGGAGCAGGAGTCGCCAGCGTCACCCTCGGAGTCCTGCTCCAAGGCTCACCGCAGAAGCAGTAGCAGTGGGGACCAGTCGTCAGACTCCTTGAACTCCCCCACACTGCTGGCCCTGTAACCCTGTGCTCCTCTGGCCAGCTCTGGAGAAGTCGTCATGATCATCGTCATCATCATCATCCTCATCCTCCTCATCCTCCTCGTCACCCTTCCCGGAGACCAGTACCTTTAAAGCACTCCAGGGCCGTGAGGGCAATAGGGGACCTTGGCTCTGGGGACCCGATGGGATTTAGTGGCAAGGCACTGGTTGATCTCTTGGAAGCCCTGGGACCCCCTTTCCCTCATTCATCTTGCAAGCAAATCCTCTTCCTTGAGAAGCCGGAGGAGAACTTGGTTCGGTGGACTCAGACATCCTCTCCTGCTTCGGCAGCATCTGGAGCCCGGCCCCGGATGGTTCCTGTCCCTTTGTGACTCTGTTGTCCCTGGAGTGATGGTGTCCCTTTCCTCCCCCACCAAGCATGCCCAGTGCCTTTCTGGTGTCCCCTGCCTCCCCCAGTCCCAGCTTCACTCCCTCTGGGTTTTTAATGAGATTTGCCATGACATTTCATCTGGGTGGTCCGGATATTAAAGCGCTGTTATTTCTGGAGCTGGGGGAGCAGGTGACTCTTCCACTGGGGTGGATGTGTCCCGAAGGGGACAGTCAAAGTGCAATATTATTGAACCTTCCCTCCCCACGCACCCCAGCGCACTGATGACATCACAGACCACCAGCGGCCTCCCTGAGTTCCGTGGGTGAGGCCATCACCACTGGGATGCACCGAGGACCTTTCCTCCCCAGCCTGGGAGATGTCCATCTCTTGGAGGATCGGCCTGGCCAGAAGACAAGGGTGTAAGTGCGACAACCAGGGCACAGGTTGGGTTTGCCAAACGCCTAATTACCAAGCCAGGATTAGTGCCAACAAAGCCACGGGGCTGTCCTAGTGAGCTTCCCTTCGCCTGATGTCTTGAGTGGAGCTTCTCTTGTAATTACCGCCTCGCCATTCTGACCTTGGACCCCTTCCCTCCAGACCAGGGAGGTACCCCTTCCCAGGAACCGCACATCACTCCAAAGCCCCGCTGGGTTCTGCCCATCTCTTCTGAGAGATGGTTCTTCCCCATCTCTCAGGGTGACACCACTCTGAGAGTGTGGGCCTGGACCCTCCCCCCGAGTTTGACCCAATGGTTTCTCTTCACACCTCAGGTGGAAGAGCTGGGGAGAGATCTGGGGCTGTGGTAGGAATGATTTTGGCAGCAGCCCCAGGTACCTAGCCTTCCCTGGCTACTCTCCTATCAGTGAGGTGCAGGACCCCCCCCACCCCACCCCCCACCCTGCTCTGTTCTCAGTGGTCTCTCCCATTGATGGATGAATGCTTTTCCTTTGATCCTTCTGTGGCCCACTCCAGAGTGACCTCCTGACCCAGCAGGCCGGTTGGGAGTCACTGGTCCGAGCCAGTCTTGCTAAGGCTTGGGGTGTCTTATGCCGTTCCTGTCAAAGCTAGTATGTGCTCCTTCCCACTGTTGAAAGAACTGTGCTTCTCATGGGTGTCCTGGCCTCCAGCAAGAGCACACCCCTGCCCCCGCATCTCAGCCCTTCCTCCCTGCTGCATGTTGACACAGGCATGGGAAGTGGAGTCTGCTCAGAACCCGTCTCTAGTGCTAATGCTCCCACCTCGTGTGTCCACTCTAAAGAGCCTATCTAAACCCATGTTATTTGAATCATGGCTGGTGGTGGAAATCTGAGTTTTGACAGGGAAGGGACAACATCACAGACCTACGCCTTTCTCAACCCGTTCACACGGACCGGCCATGATTTAATCCCATGACCCACTTACATGCATGTAGAGTACACAGGATCCAGAGGCCATGTGGGAAGCCTGCATGGTCCATCAGAACTGAAAGTGAGGGGGGCAGAGGTTGGCTAGGTGGAGAGGGACCTGAAAGGAGAGGGGATTTTTGTTCCGAATAATTTCGATATGTCCTTTTCCGTGTGCCCTGGCTCTAACTCTGCCATTCTGGCCTCCCAGAGCCTCTGGGAGGTGGCTTCCTGGCCTCAGAGTCCTCCTAGAAACAGAAGACAGCCAAGAGTAGCAGGAGTTGGGTAAATACCCGGGGGTGATCTCAGTTGAGAAGCATTTCTCATCTCAAGCCAAGTGGGAGCGCTCCCTTCTTGTGCTCATGGGTGTTTCTGAAAACGAAGCTGCTTTTTTCCTTCTTTTATTTCCGAAGCCCTTTTCTGCCCCGCCTTCCATAACATGGATCCCAACACAGGTCACAGGCCTGTGGCTTGGTGCCCCAGTTGGACACTCCTGAGAACACTCCCCCACCCCAAGTCTGTCTCTCAGTTCAGATTTCAAGCTGTGTCAGCATCAGTGCTAGAAGGCACAGCCAGCTAACCTGGGCCTCAGAAGCCTCCGAGGCCATTTTCCCTTTTGACTTGCTTGCCTCGTCCCACAAGACTCCATGGCTTTCCCAAAAGACAGAGATTTCTTGGTGGAGGAGGAAGCTGATTATCCATACCTAAACGGTGGGGGTAACCTCGGTTTGCTTCCTTCTGGCTCGTCATGTACACATCACTCACACATCTCTCTGCCTATGCTCCAGAGTCAGGAGCCTGGCTTGCTATCCTGCCTCTAGTTCAGGGAGCAGCTGCAGTGGGGGGGGGGCGTGCTTTGTGCTCAGGCAAGGTGTCAGATCTCATGTGTGTCCTCAGCTGGTGCGGACTTGAGACTGTGAGCAGCTCTGGGTTGGCACAGGGCAGGCACTCCCCCCATCGGCTAGCATGAAACACAGTCCTCATGGCCACCCCAGCCTCTGGGAGAGCTGTCCACCCTCTGTCTGGCTATCTAGGGACCGCTGTGGCACAGGAAAGAGTGGAGCCCAGGTGAGGGGAGCTACTACCAAGCAGCCTTTTGGGGGGTCAGATTGCTGCTGTCACAGGATGAGTGTGCCCATGGTGGCCAGTCGTGGGAGCATTTCGGAGCTAACCAAACCTGGCGCTTCCTCGGGCTCTGGGGAAAGAGAACCCAAGTCTGCTTCCGCTTGACTCCCAAGTGTGGAAGAGGGGGAGGCCTTGTGAAGCATCTGGATTCCTTTCTCCCCATTTTCCTGACAGAGCAAGCGTGTCCCTGGAGATATCACCATGTATCTTTTCACAGGGACTTCCTTCCCCGACAGATATGCGTGTCCTGTGGCCTCTTTAGGGAGGAAAGGAATAAGCACCTACTGTGTGCCCAGGCACTACAAGGCACTTTTATATTTATCCTCTTTTAAGATGGAACTGAGTCATCCCCTTCTAGAAGGTCCCAAGTAATGTCTAAACAAACAAACAAACAAACAAAACACTTGGAGACGGACGAGAGGGCTTTCTTCAAAGACCCCAGGTGGGAGTGCCTTTACTCTGTCCACCCCAGGCTCCTCCCCCTCAGACTCCCCTGGCCTGGCCTGTGCTCCTCGGGTGACTGAAGGGGCAACCTGAGTTCTCATAGAGTTTGTGGACCAATAGGATGTGTAGTGTGTATGACTTTCTCTTTTTTTTAATGTAAGTAAGGGGGGGGGCCTCGCCACATTCTGCTTGGGTCATCTTGACATTCATCTTCAGGCTAGCATCTCACTATTTATTGACAGGGGCGTGTGAGTGTGTGTGTGAGTGTGTGTGTGTGTGTGTGTGTGTGTGTGTGTGTGTGCATTCGTATCTCCACATGCGTGAGCGTGCGCTTCTATCCTCCTGCCGCTTTTTTTTTTTAAAGAAGGAAACCAATCGTCCCACCTCTAAGGGGTGTCTTCTCACGCTTCTGGTGTTTTGGGCCTGGCCACACCTCACCACATGTTGGTAACGATCCAGGGCCCCCGGCAACCTGTTCGGGAGGAGCTGGGTCACACTTTTGACAGAGGGTTTGGGAAGGGAAAGGGGAGAAGAAATCGACATTTATTTTATTATTTATTTTAAATGTTTACATCTTCCGTGTGTGTTCCAAGCCTGACTAGAAACCGATAGCATTAAA